AGACTTCCTTTCCTTAAAACATAGACAAACATAAAATAATATAATAAAATTATTTTAAATAAAAACACATCTTATAACTTTAAATAAAAAGGACAACAATACCTTACAATTTAAAATAATAACACTACGCAACGACACCTTACAACTTATAAAAGTTTTGAGAAGAAAGATACAGGTGAAATGAGAACCGTGGAGAGAAGAATAGATTGGAAAACAAGATGAAATAGAAGAAGTAAGGTATAGAGGATAGCTCACAAGTTAAAAACCCGCAGGTTTCACATTCCAACAATTCATCACTAATCTCTCCATAAACTCTCTTTCAAGCAGCAAAACAACAACATTTATAGAAGAAAAAGACTAAATGCCCTCATAAATCTGCCACCCTAAGTAACCAATAGAAGCCATCTTGAGAAGATAAAACAAGACTTAGGAAAAAGCAAAGATGTAGGGGAACGGTCAACAACAGGGAACCAACGCTAGGGAAAAGCAAAAGAAAAATTTTCAAGTAAAGGAAACACCAAAATCTGCTTGGAAAAATAGCTAATATTGAATCCGAATTTAGTATGGGGAACATACTGATACACCTTAGGTTTTGACAATTTCGGTTTTGCCCTAATTTCCCCCCAAAAAGAGGAATTTCTCCACCAAAATCAAAGAAGAACAATCACAAGAGGGTTGAGATGAGAAGCAAAAACCTTTGCATAAGAAAACCAAGAGAAAACAAGATAAGTTTGTCCACTTCGAGAAGGACAAGATCTCCCACAAGAAAACCCTAGAAAAGAGCAAGAAGGAGGCTAAGGAGAAAATAAGAGAGAGAATACACTTTTCATAATGATCCCCACTAAACCCTAATGGCTCCCTTCATACCAACACACAATTTCTCCCTCCCCAAAATGCCCCCACTTAAGTGGATGGGGCCCCTTGGTCCAACCGAACCGCCCGCCCCTCTCCCCTCCGCCTGTAGACCAGCACGGGTCCAGGCCGGACCGGTTCAAGGTGAACCGGTCCATCACATACATCAACCAGCCAATTTTGGAAGACATGGGCCAAGCCCATTAAGAGAAAAAACAGCCAAGATTAAATGCCCACATAGCCAACAAGGAAGCAATGAAACATAAATAAAATCTAAAAAAAATCTAGCTTTGCCTGCATCAGTTCTCCCTTGGTGGAGAAATCTCATCCCCTGGTGAGATTGCCTCAGAATTTCTAAGATGTTACGATTGTGCCTTTTCGTTTCCTGAATTAAAGAGACATACTTCCTTCGGATCTTCTCCTTTTCTTGTTCAAACTCAGATTGAAGTAGACACTTCATATTTTCATATCTCTTTGCACATAAATACTATTGTCTTTGAATTTTGAGAAGTTCGTTCTGCTGTGGATTAGTAGAACATGATTGGGGTGGTACCCATTTTGTTGCTGGAAATTTATCTTATGGAATACAAATAATAGTGGGTTGAATTTCAAAGACTGTATGTTCAAATATCTCTTGAATTGGAGATTCATATCGCCGATTTCTTTGGTTGTCTTTTTTTTTTTATAGAAAGGAAGACACACACATGACAACCTAGTCTCTAATACCAAATTGATGCAATCAAATAAACATAAGGATTGCAAACAAAGACTTCCTTTCCTTAAAACATAGACAAACATAAAATAATATAACAATATTATTTTAAATAAAGACACACCTTACAACTTCAAATAAAAAGGACAACAATGTCTTACAATTTAAAATAAAAACACTACGCAATGACACCTTACAACTTGTAAATATTTTGAGAAGAAAGATACATGTGAAATGGGAATCGTCGAGATAGGAATAGATAGAATACCGAAATGAAATAGAAGAAGTAAGGTAGAGAGGATAGTTCGCAAGCTAAAAACCCGCAGGTTTCACATTCCAATAATTCATCACAAATCTCTCCATAAACACTATTTCCAGTAGCAAAACAACAACATTTATAGGAGAAAAAGACCAAATGCCTCATAAATATGCCACCTTAAGTAACTAATAGAAGTCATCTTGAGAAGATAAAACAAGAATTAGGAAACAACAAAGAGGGAGGGGAAAGATAAGCAACAGGGAATCAACGCCTAGGGAAAAGCAAAAGCAAAATTTCCAAGAAAAGGTAACACTGAAATCTGCTTAGAATAACAGTCAATATTGAATCCGAATTCAGCATGGGGAACACACATCAACTAGCCAATTTTGGAAGACATGGGCCACATAGCCAACAAGGAAGCAAGGAAACATAAAGAAAATTTAAAAAAAAATTAGCTTTGCCTGCATCAATTCTCCCATGGTGGAGAAATCTCATCCCGTGATGAGATTGCCTTAGAACTTCCAAGATATTTTGATTGTGCATTTTTTGTTTCCTGAATTAAAGAGTCATACTTCGGATCATCTCCTTTTCTTGTTCAACTCGCACTGGGTTCTATTCCCACACGCGAACGCCAAATGCGAGATTTTTTTAAAGTTTAGAACTTATACCTTTGTAGGGTACATTGGCGGTGTCGGCATGTGGATCGTGGCAAGAGAAGATTTTTTTTTTCTTCTCTTTTTTTCTAATAATTAATTATAATTAATTATGATTAATAATAATAAATTAGAATAAAAAATAATCAATTATAATTATATTTAACTAACTAAAATTAGTGTATGATTAATTAATAATTAATTATAATTAAAAAATTAATCATAATTAAACTTAATTAACTATGATTAATAATAATATCATTTTAATTAAAAAAATACTAATTATAATTAAATTTAATTCAATTATAACTAATATTATAAATAATACTAATTATTGATAAATTAAAAACTAATTAATTATAATTAAATACAAACATACAATTAAAAGATATTACATGAGGAAATTCGTAACAGAGCATGGATATTAAAAATTGACGCAAATGAGGCTCCCTTTGCGCAATTCAGTAAAAAAACGCCTCGATACTTACACCTTGAGTTATTTTTTAATGAGCTTGCGCCTCACATTAGAATTGAAGGCCCGCATTGAGGCCCGCCTCGCCTTCACTCGGCTAATGAGGCTTTACGCCTCATCTAGTATATAAATTAATAAACTTAACATAAATCTTGAAGTAAATTGCCTGACATTGTGAGACTCTTAGGAGATGAGGAGGAAGGGAAGAGAGCTAGTTTCACCAATAATAATGATTCAAATGAAGAACCCCTTCGTGATGACGGGGCTGATGACTTATGAGTTCTTATGTGATATGTCATTGCTATTTATTTTTGGAAATCAGAATTATATGTTAATGAAAAGAATACTAGGATTTGGGAAAGATAGAATTTTGAGTTGAACTATATTTCATGTTGTCTTATTATTGAGATATTTTGATTTCACTTCATATCTTATGTTTTTTTATGTTTTATATTATTCACTCATTAGTATATAACAAATTTATCATTTTATGTTTACGCAATCTTTTGATTTTGAGGCTTCCGCCTCAAAACGCCTTGAGGCTTACGCCTCGCCTCACGAATGAAAAACGCCTCAATACCCGAATACGCAATTTTAAACATTGGTAAAGAGGTTTTCGGGATGAAGGATTTATACAAGATTTGAACTGGATTTAATCCACCTCAATTGTCCATCTCTTCCTCACAAACTGCAAGCATTCGACCTCCTTCCCTATCAAACTCACCTGCGGCTGAACCTCACCAAGCCGACGTCTCCTCCAGCTCTAACCAACCTCTTCAAACTGAAGCCCTACCTACACAAGCCGCTGCCCATCTTCCAATCTCTGAGCAAAACCGACAATAACTTGCTCGCCGTGAAGGTAGTCATCTTCCTTTTGTGCGCCTCTTTAGCTAAATGTAGTAAACCTGTCGAATGGAGAAAGATTAAAGTAGTGGATTTAACTGCTGTGAGATTTAATTGTTTCCTAAATCTTATTTGACAGGATTTAGTATAAATCCTATTGTTTAAACAAGATTTAGCTCAAATTCTGCATAAATCCTGAATTGGAAGCTTGGAGACGACGACAATCAGAGATAGGGCGGAATCGGGAGTTGGGTTCGGCCTCTTGCGACACTGAGAGATGGAAGAGACGCAAGTGGGGGTCGGTTTGAAGGATGTCGCTGAAGCTCTCGTGAGTAGAAGAAGGGACTCGAAGGGATTTTGTGCGAGAAAGGCAAAAACGAATGGCTCCATTTCTTCCTCATTTTAATGACATGAGTTGAAGCATAATCAAGGGAGGCATGCATGAACAGTATGAAACAGCGCCGAATTGCAGAGTATGGGTAGGGATTGTAGCAAGATATCAGGATTTCGGCAGGGATTCGGGGCAGGTAATCATTTTTTAGCCATTTTTTTTCTTCTTTGTTATGTTTTCGTTTGGCTTCTTGAGTGGAGGCCAACAATAGAAAACCTTATACCAATAAACAAATAGAAAACCTATTTCAAAACAAGAATGGAGTCAAATAAGATATAAGAGTCGTGAACTTGAGGGAATAAAACAAAGCATACTCAGGTGCCCAAATCAAAGCCCCATTCCTTCTACAACCTCTAAAGAGAGAAGAAATAAGAATAGAGAAGGCATCGTAATAAACCATTTGTTTACCCAGAAAAGTAGTTTTGGCTTGCATTTCCATTGTGTCCCCTTCCCTCATTCTCAAAAATTTGAACCAAAGGCTAGACATAGGCTCCATAAGGAATTGGACTAAGAAAGACATGTAATTAAGAACCAGCCAAGGTTGCTCCTACATCATCTATCCCCAGAGTCTTTCTATGTTGTTATTTAAAAACTTTAAATATATGTCATTTACCCACTCAAAAAATGTTTGATGGTAACATACAGGCTACCTGCATATACCTGATTTCTCATGTATCCACATATATCCAACGAAATTGCCACAATTTTATTTTTTCTCACCATGGAATGATAAATAAGAAGAGTTTGGGTTATACTAATTTCATCATGGGATGCGTGAGGCACATTCTCAATCACATATGAAGACTTGTTACACAAACCTTGTGAAGATGAAACAATATTCCCTCAACTTTGACAATAATATCGCTTTGAAGGAGTGTACTGCAAAACCTGCTAGGCACAAGAAACCTAATTAATCACATTCTCAACTATTGCTACAACAAAATCAAACAGACAAATATGATAGCAAAACATAGTATAACTGTTCAAAATAATTCAACATGATGGATCAATATCTAGCTTAATGATACCATAATAATATGATCCAACACATACATGCTTATAAATAGCATATAAGCCACTCCTGCTAAACCAGTAGAAACTTAATCTAGAATAAAACCTTATAGTGCCTTAACTAATAGATCCCATAGATTTTTTGACACCATTTCATTTACATGCCAGGATATTTGCAAGTTGTTGGGAATTAGGTGAGACCAAATTCAAATCAACTAGAATAAATAAAACATAAATGCAAAAAACACCAAGAATTTCACACAAATTTGCCCAAGTAATGACTGCATCCTGTTGCTGCTACTGTAGATTTCACTATGATAACATTGATGGAATTTCACAAAGAAATTCACAACCTGAATCTCTCAAATATAAACCTAATGACAGAAACCCCTTTATAATGAAAATAAGGATCAACCTACAATGAAATCCCCAAAATATCACTAATGAAATAACTCGCAAAGCACTTCTTTATAGGGTGTTAATTAGGCACCACAACTCAAAAAATAATGGCAAGAAATAACACAAGAAGAGTATTATCCAAGAACAAAACTCCCTTACTCCATCCCCAAATAATATTATTCTTATCCCATAGGATCAAATGGTCCATGATCCCCATGGTGGTGCATAGGCGAACAACAAAGGCTAGACTCAGTTCTAAATGAGAAGGCCACCTATGGAGCCCACACAAATAACTCCCAAATGCAAATTGTGACCGTTGAAACCACAAGTGCAAGCAAATTTAGCTAGGTTGCCATTCGAATGTAGAAAACATCATTTGATAAGTAATACATGAGGAAGCTACCTTCAAGTAGTTGTTCATGATAACCAAGCACACCTTGGGCGATAGGTTCTACTAGACTCATAGGTATTGTCCAGATTTTGGTAGGCCCCCATTAATGCAAGGTTGAAACAAGATTGAAAATGTTGAATAAATAATCGTCATAATGATAGATGAGGAAGGAACATGCAATTTTTACATATGTGGATGCTAAATTCCAGCATATGGGGAGATTTCTTTAGTGATAGTGGAGGCCATAATTAGGGTAAATATACACTACAAGCAGCCCGCTAATACAATGTAGTTGCCTTGAAATTCAACCAAAAAGATTAGCATTCATTCTGAAAAACAATTTAGAGGACTTCTGGTATCAACTGGAACGCCAAAACTCCTTTCATTTAAAGATGTAAGCATCAGTAATCCATTGATGCATTCAACTATCTTAAAGGAAATAACAAATCCTTCAACAAGGAATTTGCTAGTTCGACCGGCAATAATCTAAGCTTTATTTTCATCCTACCTAGCGCCAAATTCTTTAGTGCCAAATTTTTTAACCAAATTGAACCTTCTTTCTCCCCCAAACTAAAAAGCTCATAAGAACAAACAAAGATCATTCCTTGATCACGGAAAATAAACACTGATGTATCAACCCCTATCTTTTAATTTTTCCCATACAAACCCGATAAGCATGGAGAGCGATTGTTCTGTCAACATAGTACACTTTTATCCTCCCATAATTTCCAGGACAAAATAAGGTCGCAGAAAGGGACAGTAAAATTATCCCGAAAGTGGAGGAAAGGACAGAAGGAGACTATACCATTCATTACCCCGGCGATAGAAACCAGCCCTTCCTGCACCTTCGCCGGCCTCCTCCGCCATCATCGATGTCAGCAAATCCTAGTAAACAGAGAAAAAGAGGATGCTACGGTTTAGAAACTTCTTCTTAATCAGGCTGCGGCTTGTTTACTTGCTGTTATCTGCTGTTTGTAAAGTTGAATTAGCGCGCAAGTGGTGGTTGCAATGATGACGAAGAAGAAGGTTCGTGTTGTAGGGAGAAAAAGAGACAACATGGGCCACCTTTTCTCACCTCCCAACCCTACCACTTTGATGACGCCAGCGCTCGAGCTTCGTCTGGCTGACTGGCTCGGAACAGACTAAAGCGAGCGCGACAGCTACAAGTAGAAGTAACCAACCACTCCCGGCCAGCCCGCCAATGGGTAAAGCGTTGGCCAAAGGTTGGGGACCGGCGGCGAACGCCAAGCCATTTCTTTTGTCTCTTGTGGGTGGTGATGTTTTTAAACTTTTTAGTTTTTCCATCCACGGCTCCGACCTTTTGGAGGAAATTTTATTTGTTCCGGACAGTAAATTAGTGTCACTTGTCTTCATTATTTATCGTGCCCTCCGACAATCCGATCAGGAACGGACCCGGGATTATTATGTTCGTGTATTGCTCAGTATTGCTCGGTATTGCTAAGTATTGGTCGATTTTGCTCGGCAATAACGAGAAATACCATTATGTAAAGACCAATACCTAGTTTTTCTCGGGTACTGCTCGGTATTGCTAAGTATTGCTCAGTATTGCTTGGTATTGGTCTTCACAGAGCGGTATTTCTCGTTATTGTCAAGCAATACCTAGCAATACCGAGCAATACCTAGCAATACCGAGCAATACCGAACAATACTGAGCAATACAGAGCAATACGGGAACATAGCAATTTCGGGTTCCGGTCCATGTTAGGTCGTCGGGCCGCGCGGTAAAAAGTAAGAAGATGTGGCAAAATATTATTGACGTATGAACGTAGAGCTACGTCAGGTCACCTGACCTAATAATTATTCCTTTTGGAGAATGTGGGCGGTGGGGCGATATATAATGGATAGAGTAATGAGAGCAAAAATAAAGGTAAAGAAGTTTTCAAATTTTGCACTATCAACATATCATTAACACAATTATCTGTATAATGAATTATATTCAAATAGATACTGGGAGGAGATGGTAATTACTATCTTGTTTTATTTCATTATATTTAAGTTTCATTTCGGACAGCTGTTTAACTATTTTTTAAAATAACTTTCTAACATAAAAATTTCTAGTTCAATAAATTTTTCTACTAAAAAATTATTTTATAAAACAAAATTTTAGTTTACAGATTAATTGAAAATATGCTAATTTGAGTCATTCAATACCGATTCCAGCTGGTACTTGGACTCCGGGGCCTCCGCTCACCTGACAAACTCCATGGATAATCTCTCTATTTCTCGACCATACCAAGGCTCAGACACCATAACTATCGGCGACAGCAGCTCCGTGAACATTGCAAACACCGGGGCGGGACTTCTCCCGACCCCGTCACGTAAGCTGCATTTATCTAAAATACTTTACTCTCCCGCTATCTGTTACAATCTCATCTCTATTTCTCAGCTTACAAAGGATAATGATATTACCATTACCTTTAATCCGTCTGGGTTTGTTTTGAAGGATATGAAGACTCAACGAGTTCTATTTCAAGGACCATGTAACAATGGTCTTTACACTTTGCCATGCAAACCAGCCACGGCAGAACATACGGCGCTTCTTACAGCTTCTACAAAGGCAGAATCATGGCACAGGAAGTTAGGCCATCCGAATAAGCACACATTCGACTTAATTTCTAGTCGTAACCCGAGCCTCAAGTTAGGCAAATCGTCTATTTCGTGTGCATCTTGTGCTATGTCAAAATGTCATAAATTGTTTTTTTAACCATCTACACACACATCTACTACTTTGTTAGCTTTAATTCATTCCGATGTTTGGGGCCCTGCTCCCGTTATTTCTAATCAAGGCTTCAAATATTATGTAATCTTTGTGGACGATTTTTCTAAATTTACCTGGTTGTTTCCATTAAGAATGAAATCTGAAGATCTTGACACATTTATCAATTTTAAGAAACAGGTTGAGACATATACAAACCAGAAAATCAAAATTTTTTGTACAGATGGCGGAACTGAATACATGAATCAAGCATTCTCAAATTTTCTTCGCTCTAATGGTATCATTCATCAGGCTTCATGCCCCTATACACCGGAACAAAATGGAACTGCCGAGCGTAAGCATCGGCACATTACTGAGACTATCCGCACCCTCCTCCATACATCCTCAGCCCCTTACAGATTTTGGCCAGACGCAGCGCTTACTGCAACCTATCTAATAAATCGGTTGCCAACTCCTAATCTCAACAATTTCTCTCCATTTGAATTACTTCATAACACCAAACCCAATTACAGCTTCTTGAAAACTTTTGGCTGTGAATGCTATCCCCTTATTCCCTCGCAGAATCGGCATAAACTTCAACCCAACGCTACACCGCATATCTTCCTTGGATATTTCGACATGTATAAAGGATATAAGTGTCTTGACATCGCTACCAACAAGATTGCTTTCTCCCGGCATGTCTTGTTTAACGAAAACAAATTCCCATTCTCTGCTAAACTCGTCAATCATTCCGCAACTCTAGCTGATATTCCTCCTCTATTGCTTACCCCTGCCTCCACAGTTATACAGCCCAAACAGATTCAGCCTCCGCATGCTAGCATTCCCGTGCCAACTGCTGATAGCATCACTAGCTCTTCCCAGCAGAATCCGTGTCCCGATACCATCCGCTCGAGTACATGCTCTCAGCCTCCCAGTAACTCAACTCCTCCGACTCACCCGATGACTACCCGTAGCAAAACCGGATCATTACGACCTTCCATTCGACTAAATCTGCTGCATAAACAAACCTCGCCAACACATTCTATTCCTCCTACTACTTATTCAGCAGCTGTTCAAACTGCAGAATGGCGCGAAGTAATGGCTATGGAATTCTTAGCTTTGCAACAGCAAGGAACGTGGTCCCTCACTCCTCCTCCGGCAAATACGGCGATCTTAGGATGCAAATGGACATACATACTAAAATTTCATGCAGATGGATCTATCGCCAAACACAAAGCCAGATTGGTTCCTCTCGGAAACCACCAAGAATACGGAATTGATTACACAGAGACATTCAGTCCAGTCGCAAAGCTTCCTACAATCCGGGTACTGTTAACTATAGCTCTCCACAATGACTGGCTGGTTCAGCAACTGGACGTAGCCAACGCTTTTCTTCACGGGAATCTGACTGAAACCGTCTACATGGCTCAACCTAAAGGCTTTGAGGACACCATCCATCCAAATCACGTATGTCGCCTCCATAAATCCATCTACGGATTAAAACAGTCTCCGCGACAGTGGTACAACACGTTTACTAAATTTCTTGTCACTCTCGGGTTTGCTCATAGCCAATCGGACCCTTCTCTTCTACTGTACAAAACCGAAAACACAACGATTTTTCTCCTTGTGTACGTCGATGATATTCTGATATCCGGCAATAATCAAGATGTTATCAGTTCCATTCTTTCCAGACTTCGTATCCGCTTCTCTATGAAGCATCTTGGAGAGGTTAGTGACTTTCTTGGTATTAAAATATCAAAATTCTCACATCAGTTTTTTCTTTCACAGGAACACTATGCAACCAAAATCCTCCAGGAAGCGGATCTATTGCACTGCAATCCTTTGGCTAATCCTACGTGTACCAAACCTCCAGAATTTGTTCCAGCTGATACTCTGTTGCAGGACGGTCATCTCTACAGACGGCTAACAGGATCGTTACAATATTTAACGATAACTCGTCCGGACATTGCTTTTAGTGTCAATCAGCTATCCCAATATATGCACAATCCACAACCTCAAAACATTTATATGCTCAAACGCCTTCTCAGATATATCAAAGGTACGATCAATTTTGGAATTCCAATTACAAAATCTAATCTCCTTCTTACTGCTTTTTCAGACGCCGACTGGGCAGGCGATCCATTATCACGCAAATCCACATCAGGTTTTTGTTCATTCTTAGGCGATACGATCATTTCCTGGACGATTAAGAAGCAAACCACGGTCACTCGATCTTCGACAGAATCCGAGTATAGATCCCTGGCGGCTTTAACCGCGGACATCATCTGGCTTAGACGTCTCCTTCATGACTTCGGCATCGAGCAACATTCTCCAACGAAAATCTATTGCGACAACTCCTCGGCAATAGCTCTTGCCAACAACCCGGTCCTCCACGCTCGCACAAAACACATCGAAATAGATCAACGATTTGTGAGGGATCATATACAGCAACAAAATGTCTCCATTTTTCCCATAAGTACTATTGATCAAGTTGCGGACATTCTTACTAAGTCCCTTTCCACACCTCGTTTTCATACTTTACGAACCAAACTGACCGTCACTAAGGACCCATCAGTTTGCCGAGGCGTATTAGAGTTAAACAAATAATATAGTTTATATTTTGTACAAAGCTGTGGTGTATGTATTTAATTGGTTATTTCCATGTATTCATCTGATTGGCTCTGTTCAAAAGCTGTAACGTCTAAAGCCTATAAATATAGGCCTGTACTTCATCTGTAGGGACAAGGTTAATAATATCCATTCTTTACTTGGTCTTCTTCCTCACGTTCTGTCATTTGTTCTTCCTGTTACATTTCCACACAAATTAACAAAAGTAATTAAAAAAAGGGAGGATGTTGTTGAATTTGTCATCGAAATGTGGGCATAGTGACGGATTAAATATTATATGAGGCCACATTGGTGTAAAATGCAAGAAGCGAGACTTTGAATCCCTTAAGAGTCAGAAAGCGATGAAAAAATATGAAGGGGAGGAGATGGAAAATTGCTCGCAATTGATATAATAGTCCTAAGATAATTTTTTAAAATACAAGCACTTTTAACAAATTTTTAAGCATATAAAAATAATAAAAAGAAACAAGTAGAATTTCACATACAGCTTTAGACTTCGTTTGGTACTGCTTTCTATCTGCTTCCTAAAACAACATTTTAGTACAAAAATTAAAATTTTTATGCTAAAAAGCTACTTTAAGAAGTATAAAGAAAGCCATCTCGAACAAAGCTTTAATGAAGTGTCACATACATTTCACAAAAGAGAATTATATTATAAAATTATTTATTAAATGAGACATCATATTTATTATATAATAAATAAAACCAAATAGACATTCACATACTCAAAGAAAATACATTTTTATCTTGTTGGTGCATTGTATCATCCTCCTTTTGGGATGAAGTGTTGGCTATGGAGCTATAAAAGAGAGGATCTTTATTAGTGAAGCCTCTTTAAGTTTGTGGTGGTAAATATATTAGTATAAAAAGTTAAAATATGATAAATTTTGTGAAGGCTGTATAATTGTTGGAATTTGTCACTAGTGAACATGGGTTTAAGGCATGATTTATTG